GGGGTGAAGGGGACTCTGGGTCGGAATGGGGGGGGGACAGGCGCGAACACAGTGCGGGCAGAGCAGGGAGGAGGCCAACGTCTGATGCCAGGAGCACCCACTCCTGTCGAGGAGGAAGGCCAGACCGGCAGGGACTGTGGCTCGCTCACACTCACCTCTGCTCTCTTCAGCATCTCCCACTTGTTGAGGATTTTCATGGCATAAATTCGTTCAGTGTTCTTCATTTTGACAACAGCAACCTGGAGTACAAACGGGAGTGTCACAAACGTGGGTTTTCGTAAACTCACAGTGAGATATCAATTGTCTGGAAAGAGGTGTTAGGCGAGGAAAGTGTTCTATGTAAATGTGGACTTGCTCTTTTAACCATCAAAACTCGATCTGAGCCACACAGCAACTTGAATGATCGATCACACCCGCTCAGGCAAAAAAACCCTGCAGTGCTGCCCTAACCAGTTTGGCTCAGTGGACAGAGCATCGGCCTGCGGACTCAAGGGTCCCAGGGTCGATTCCGGTCAAGGGCATGTACCTTGGCTGCGGGCACATCCCCAGTTGGGGGCGTGCAGGAGGCAGCTGATCGATGTTTCTCACTCATCAATGTTTCTAACTCTCTATCTCTCTCCCTTCCTCTCTGTAAAAAAATCAATAAAATATATATATTTTTTAAAAACCCTGCAGTGCTGAGTACTGGGTGCGTACAGTCCTCTACTTGGGGTGCGTCCGGAGAGTTTCATAATAAACCTCTAAAAATTCGTCACCGGCTCCCAAGCTTCGCCCCTGCGCCCAGGTGCACCATCCCCGAGCTCATGCTTACACGCCCACGGTGCTCAGGGGCCCACCTCTCACCCAGCTCTCGTGCAATGTGCTCAGGACGGTGTTAGACACATGTCAGGCTCGGCATGCTGGCTGCAGCCATGTTCTTCAAAGTACAACTCACAGCCACCTCTTCCAGGAAGCCTTCTGGGACTTCCTGATCCCTGCCCAACCTCCAGTGAGCTCTTCCACCGGCACCAACACCAGATGTGATGTCTGTGCCATCACACGGCACTTTCTACCTGACATTAATGGATCGTTCATTGGCCCAAGTCTCCATCACAAGGCCATAAGCTGCGTATTGACAGTGACTAACTTCTGTGAGAGCAAGCAGACCTTTTTGCTGCGAGTGGCAGGCAGCCCACAGCAGGTGTCAAGCAGAGTCCCTCATTACCAGCTTCCTTGCTCTCTAACCAGCACATGCCACGCATCGCCAAGGTCTCCCGAGAGCCAACATGCCCCGAGCACCTGCCCGCTCGCTCTCAGTCCAGGCTCCCCAACTCTCCCTTCTCACCCCAGGGGCCTGCTTCTGAGCCTATGTTAAATGACGGGCAGCATCCAATGTCACCTCCCCGGGGCCTGACGGTGGGAAGCCCACATGAACGCCCTGGTGCGCCCCTGGCTTGTCCTTAGGAAAGGATAATCCGATCAGAAGCACAGGCGAAGAGCCTTCTGATCCCAACACCGATAAGGAGCGGCCTCGTTTCTGTGGCCCCCCCGGCGCCATCAGAGACAGAAAGCAGGAGCCGGGCCCATTCCAGGTGCGTGGTTACGAGGATGCTCCGGAACAGCAACGGGGCTCAGTGAGGCTGTCGACACAACCCGAGGTCCCAGCGCTGGCAGGGAGCAGGGGAGCAGGCACAGGGCCCCAGACGGGACAGTGCCCGGTGGTGGGAGGAGTAGGTGCGGAGTGCTGGTGTGGAGCCCAGGCCTCGGGGCCAGGGAGGTTGAGTGGGGGTTGAAGTGGGGGTGGAGGGGTGCGTCCAGAGAAAGTGGTAGAGCTGAGAGGGGGCAAAGGAAAGGAGAGAACCCGTGGGCTTCCACAAAGGCCTGGGCAAGGGCGTGCTTCTCTTAATTTGAAGGAAAGTGGCAAGTGATCGTTGTTACCTTCTTTGAAACTCAGAACCATTTTGTATCAAGTTCTTTGGCAAAAAAAGAGCACTAAAAAGAACTATAGCTCAGCCGGTGTGGCTCAGTGGCTGAGCACCAACCCATGAACCAAAAGGTCACGGTTCAAGTCCAAAGTCAGGGCACAGGCCCGGGTTGCAGGCTCGATCCCCAGTAGGGGGTGTGCAGGAGGCAGCCGATCCATGATTCTCTGTCATCACTGATGTTTCTCTCTCCCTCTCCCTCTCCCTTCCTCTCTCTGAAATAATTTCAAAAACCAATAAAAGTCACTACAAACAATTGGCACGGCAGTGTTCGCGCGTTCTTTCCTTTCCCTCCTGAAGGGCCCGCTCTCTGGCGCTGTCTCTCCCCGCCCCTCCGGGCCCCTCCGACGTGGACACGGTGGCAGCAGAACTGTGCAGGGCCCGGCCTTGCTCACTGCACAGCCCGAGCCTGGCACGGCTCCTGGGACAAGGACGACAGTTGGTGTAAGTATAGACTGAGCTGAGTCAGGCTTGATTTCAACAGGCTCTCTCTCTTCTCACTAAACAACAAAAACCATGCCTTACACAACTACCTACAGCTCAGAGATTTGCTATTTCTGTGCAGAACTCAGTCTTTCCTATGGTTCCTTTAAACTAAGTTCCCCGTTGGTGGCAACCAGGACAGCTGCTGCCTGGGGGCCCGTGGGGCTCACAGGAGGTGGGTGTGAAAAGCAACAGGAGGGGGGAACCTTCTAGGGGAGAGAAACGCTGTCTTCCAACCGGGGTGCACACGCTGCCACACTCCCAATGGCACTTAGATCTGGGCATTTATGTGTCCTTGTACTTCAAAACCAGAGGACCCTCCATCCCTTCCTAGCCACAGTGAGTTGAATTTGGCTGAGGACCCTGGATCCCTGGGTTCTGAGGTGACCCTGGAGATTGGGTCAGCCTGGGGCGGGCCTGGGAGGAGCGGCCATCCCAGAGGACAAGGCTGCCACCAAGCAGCCCCCTGTGGTGCGGCTTCCCCTGCCCCCACGCCTGGGGGGGGAGAGGGATGCGGGATGGAGAAGAGGGGCTGGAAGGCAGGGCGGGGTGGGGGGCGGTATGAGGGAGAGGAATGCGGCCTGTCAGAGGGCTGGGGGCTGGTCAGAGGCCAGGGCTGTTTCCAAGGAAGACAAGACGGTGAGCACACGGCTGCCGGCCCGGCAGGCTTTCTGCAGGGCCTGTGAGCTCCACGGGTGGCCCCCGTGTCTGTGGCAGAAGAATGGGCAGCAGTGAGACGTTCCCTAAGGCAGAGGCCAGGCCCTGCTCTAACTCAGAAGTCACGAGAGATTCCACAGGCAAGACCTGGCCGGTGAAGCTGCTGTTCGCTTCCTTTCCGAGGGCACAGCCCAGAGCGCCTGCACGGCCAACGCCACCTCACGTCTGCTCTCACCCGCCCAGAGGGCTCCCCCACACAGGGCTCAGGACACGGCAGCTGAAACCCGAGCAGGACGATGCGCCCCAGTGTGGGAGGCGCTCTGAAGGTGGCTCACTGTAAGCCACCTGATCTCTGACAGCGGGGCTGTGGCCAGCCTGGGAGGAGCGCGCCACCTGCAGAGGCCACCACCTGCCCAGGGCAGGGAGGCAGCCCGCGCTGGACAAGCTGCCCTCTCCTGGTGGCAGCAGCCACAAGTAATGACAATGACCATATTTTACTCTCTATGCATTTCAAAGAAAACTAACAAGTGGATTCTTTAAAACCTTATTGGTCTGTAAGAAACTATTTTGGCCAGAACGATGCCCAGGGTAATTCACCAGTCACAAGCTTTCGTTTTTGTTTTTCTCTTAATTCCACCTTTCTGTCCCAGCACTCTCCCAAGATTACCAATAATTACCTCACCCCCAGATCTACAGGAGGACCCCAAGAATGCTGCCCGTGGCCTGGCAATCTGTGCAAAGTCAACAAGACGAAGCGGAGCTCACCTCACCGAACGCGCCCCGCCCGATGACTTTGATGATCTCGAAGTCCTCTCGCCGGAGCTGCATGTCCTTCACCAGCTGCGTAAAGGGCTTGGCTGCAAAGAAGAAAGCGGAATTAACACCTTGTCTACTAAATGAATGCTGTCTGAAACCAACACATTGGGTTATTCTAGTAAGTTACACTTTTTATAGAAAAATGTTCACTTTTCAAATAAGTACTTTTATGCTAAATTAACGTGGATGTTTGTCATCAGCACCTACACAGCTACACCTGTTATGACAAAGTCTCACAGCAGAGGCCGGCCAGTCATGGGAGGTAAGATCGAGCTGCCAACGGCACCCAGGCAGCCGACGTGGTGCTGCCTGTTCTGCAGCAGCTGCGACTGATGTGCTCCAGGTGAGTGAGCTCTGAGCTCACCTGCAGGGCAGCTGGGGGAGCACAAGATGGACTCCAGGGAGCAACGGAGGTGCCCCCGGAAAACGGAGGGATGGGGCTTGACACTCGCATGGCTCCTCCCCTAGGAACCCACTCCGCGCTGTGCTCCTGGATCCGCACAGCCTCTCTGAGATTAATTCCATTATTGCCCCTACTGTGGGGAGGAGGAGAGGGAGCCAGGCTTCTTGGCGCACGCACTAGCTCACAGCGACCCCCAAATCGTGTCCCCCCGGCTGCTTGTTTGGAAGGGGGCCTTGCAGATGCACTCAGATTGAGATGAGGACACAGAGGCATGGCAGAGCCCTGAGGCCAGCACTAATGCCATCCCTCTAACGAGAGGGAAAGGGGCCGCAGAGGGAGGCGCAGCCTGGAACGGCTCCGATGTAGGCCCAGGAGCAGGGATGGCTGCCGGGGGACCACAGGCTGGCCATCCTGCAATATGCCTTTTGGGAAACTGATTCAAGCTGGTTTTTAAGAAGCAAAAGACTCAGAGAGTCCCTGGCCCTCCCCCGTTACCTGCCCCAGGAATCCAGGCAGAACCCTGCTTAAAGGAAGGGCACCCCTGGTCACTGACAGGAGTGCACGGGGCCCGGGGAAGCTGGCCCAGCGTCTGTTGTCCGTGCCCTGCTCCTGGCGGCCCAGCTGGAATATGGGTGCCAGTTTGCTCTTTCTCCTCTGCCCGTGAACTCCCTGCTTCCCCCGGAAGCCCCAGACCCCAGCCTCCTCTCCTCAGTCAGAAGGGCACCTAAGCCTCTGCCCAAGGCAGCTTGGGGTCTCAGTCTGGCACCCACACGTGGACCTCCATAGTAACCCAGGACATTTTCTCCCGTTAATCCGTCTCCCGTGAATGACTCTAGAATAGCTGAGAACGTGGAGGACAATCGTGCCCCACACGCTGCCCCGAAGCTGGGAGAGACAGGAAGCTCCCTCCCCGGAGCCTTCGGAGGGCGCTTGGCGCTCCCCCGACGGGAGCTCCAGGGAGCTGCTCTAGAGCTCACAGCCGGCTTCATCTCTGTCCTCGGGAGCCCCAGCTGGCGCTCGCCTGTGACAGTCGCCCAGGAAACTGCTCCAGCGTCTGTGTGACTTCCTTCCAGGAACACAGAGCAGGTGGCAGAGCTGGACCGGAAGCCACAGGCCTGGCCTCCAGACCCCGCCCATCCCACCCCCACCCCTGTCTAGGATCCCCTCTCCTACACCTGCTCCGACTGCACCTTCAGGCCTACATCCTTACGTCTTATGCCAACTTTCATGCTTGTCCTGCTTCCTCAGGTCCCCCATGACTGCCGTCCTGCAGACACTCCCATTGGGGAAACTGGGCAGAGGGCAGGGCTCTTTCTGTTGCTTTCTTACCCCGACATCTGCATTGTCTCCAAAGCAGCCCTGCCCCTGACACATCCCAGCTGCTAACTGAGCTCCCTATTCATTACCAACCTAACTCGCTACTGCTTCTCCTTAAATAGTTGCCTAGGACCAGGAAGGTCCATCCCCTGGCTCACCGCCAGCGCCCAGGAGGCTCTCGGTGCCATGGGCGGTGAACTGCTGCCCCGGCTGCAAGTGCCATCGGCACAGAGACGGGAAAGGGAACACAGGCCCCGAGTTCTTAGTTTAAGGCCAGGGTAGAAAAACCCTGTGCTAGAACTTCAAGGTCTGTGATTCATCTTTATTTCTTTCAAATATGACCAGAAATAACCCAACACTAGGCGTGGAAATGTGTTTAAACAGCCACTGAAGACCACACCCCCGTGGTACCTTTTGGGTGAACCTCCTATTTTACCGTGAAGAAAAACACCCCCAATTAACCAGACGCGTTGTTTCCCCCGAGAGCGTGTTGGAAGGAGGGAGCACCGCCCAGGAATGAGCGCTGTCGCCGTCCGCACGGTCCTCGGGCAGGGGCCCAACACTACAGCCGACACCCCACACACCCAGACTCCCGGGGCTCACGAGCGGTTTTCAATGTGCAAACCAAGCGGCAACACGCGAAGCCCAAGACCCCGTAACTGAACCCAAGCCTCTGCATCGTGCCCCGCTCCCTCTCCATCCTTGCTCAGACCTACTCAATGTTGACACAACCTGTATCCTGCTTTTATTTTACTTCTTATATTTTCAGATTTCTATTTTACTCAACTGTCATTTTAACGGATGTATAATCCTATCCTATGTAATAAAAGGCTAATATGCAAACTGACCGAATGGCGGAACGACCAGTCACTATGACGCGCACTGACCACCAGGAGCTGCCCCCCCTGGTGGTCTGTGTACTTCCATGGGGGAGGGGGGGAGGGCACTGCTCAGCCGGAAGCCGGGTTCACGGCTGGCAAGTGCAGCGGTGGTGGTGAGAGCCTCTCCCGCCTCTGCAGCAGCACTAAGGGTGTCCAACTGACAGCTTAGGCCATCAGTCAGACATCCCCCATGGGCTCCCGGACTGCAAGAGGGTGCAGGCTGGGCTGAGGGGACTCCCTCCCCCTCAAGTGCACAAATTTCATGCACTGGGCCTCTAATATTTCAATAAGTTGGCACACCAACAATTTTTTTTAATGTTTTCATTGATTTCAGAGAGGAAGGGAGAGAAACATCAATGATAAGAGAATCATTGATTGGTTGCCTCCTGCATGCCCCCTACTGGGGATTGAGCCTGCAACCCAGGCATGTGCCCTTGACTGGAATCTAACCCAGGACCCTCAGTCCGCAGGGCGATGCTCTATCCACTGAGCCAAACCAGCTAGGGCGGCACACCAACAATTTTAAAATCATGTATCTATTAAACACATTGGCTGGACATTTAATTCTCAAAATTATTATTGTGCTATGGTGAAGAATATGCAATGAACATGATCAGGCATGGAGCTCTACTACCTTCAATAATTTTTAGAATGAAACACCAGGTCTCTCCAAAGGGCACTCACCTTTTACGGTTCCCGACCTGCCCTCCAAACTGCCTCCTGAGTCAGCTGTCCTGCCCCCACACCAAGACCATCGCCCTCCCTGGCACCAGCACCCAGTCATGCCTGCTCACCGGCCATGCCTGCACCTGCTTAGAAGTGAGTGTAAGTGCTTTACTGTGGCTCTCCCAAACGTAAGCGCTGCGAACATCACCCCTTCATTCTGTTCCTGCTTTACATCTTAATTATACTATATTTATTGTATAAAAGTTATTACTTTTAGTAAAAATGAATTAATTCCTTTTTCCTTTGTCATTTTATTATTAAGGCTTATTTAGAAAGTTGTCAACTCTTTAAAGACCTGATATTCAACCTTATTTTTTTGCTGAATGGCTTTTTAAATAGTTAACCTATTATTCACCTGTTGGCTAGAGGACGTTGGAGTGTGGAGTGTTTATTTTATTTTAGGTTTTTAAATAGATTTTTATTGATTTCAGAGAGGAAAGGAGTGGGAGAGATAGAAACATCAATGATGAGAGAGAATCACTGATTAGCTGCCTCCTGCACGCCCTCTACTGGGGACCAAGCCCACAACCCGGGCATGTGGCCTTGACCGGAATCGAACCCGGGACTCCTTCAGTCTGCAGGCCGACACTCTATCCACTGAGCCAAACCAGCCAGGGCTGGAGTGTTTATTTTAACTTCCAGATTTAACGTCCATGTGTATTAAGTGGTCTGACATGTTTTACCCAATTCTGCTGATTGCGTCACACGGGCAGGAGAGGCCACGCCGCTGTGGGCCCAGGGGAAAGCCAGCTTCCGCTCAGGCGGGAGGCAGGTCCTGAGGACGCCATGGTGGCCATACCATCTAGAAAAGGCACTGGATCCTGTGACAAAACTTCCTCATCCAGAAAGTGGACCAAAGGTCCCTCCGACCCCCGGCAGGAACCCATGAGCAGTGACAACTGAGGCCCAGGAGTCAAGCACTTGTGCCACGGCTGCAGCCTACATGCCGCGCTCTTCACCTCTGACCTTTCCACATCGAGGACCCTCCCCTGCCGGCACGTCATCGGGGCTCCTGCTCGCTGCTAGCATTTGGCGCTGCTGCGTTTTTCCTGTCTGTGCCCATTCCCTGAGTGACGGCGCGATTTGCCGGGGCCCGTCGATAGCAGGGAGGACTACGGGCACACGCCTGGGATGCATGCGTGACAGGGAAATGGCAGGCTCGGCAACGGAAAAGCAGCTGTGGGCATGGGCACCAAGAGGGCC